TTTCGAGCTCCGCCCACTTAGGCGTATTTTGCACTGAATGGGGACCTAGAAAATTCAACAAAAGCTCATTTTTGCCATTTTTATGCGCGGAAAAGCCCAAATATGGGTTTTCATGGCGAAAAGGTCTCGAAAAAGTGAAAAACTGGAAAACGAAATTTTGCCGAGACGCTGCCTTCAATTAAACAGTAGTTGTTAGAAGAAAACAATCAAGCATTTTTGTTTTTTGTATTGATCCAACGTTTTCACGTTCCAGAATGAGACTGGTCTTGAAGTAACAATGCTTTCATCCGGTGTTTCGCTCATCTATTCTTTCTTCATGGATGCTAAAAAACGCGCTCATCGCATGCCTATGGAGTAAGTAGTTGCTATTGTCAGCTTCATTCGTCAGTAATCGTTCAACGGCCATTTTCACTTTCAGCATAAAGTCTGTAGTAGAAGACGTATCGAAGCGAGAAGTGCCAAAACATCAGCGATCACTAGTATTGGAAGTGATGGCCACGGATCCGAACACCGATGAAGACGTTGAAGTTCCATACATTCGATACGTGCTGTAGAGCCACTGTTTTCACTTGCCTTGTGCTTTACCATCCTCCCTAAACTCCAAGTACGTGTGACAGATCAACTCTACCGATCAACTTCAGCTACAGTTCGGCTGCATCCGGTTCCATTTGCTTATTGTCGTTTCGTAATTTTACAAATGGGTATGGCATCTTTGCTGGCGAGTCTCAGTACCTTTCAAGAACTTGCACACAATCGTGCCGGGCTTCCAAGATCACTAAGTACATGCCCTTTTTACTGCTAGCTGTCTTCCATGTTAGGTGATTGAGTCACCTGACTTCGTACTTGTCTGTGCTTGGCACTTTGATGCTGGTGTCTTTGTTGTCCTTAGTGGAACTTAAGTATGATTGTTCATGAAGTTTTAATAATTTATTTTACAATACTGTTCACGTAAAGAAATGACAACACCTGTAATCGTATTCTTTGCACTTGCAGCAGGTACGAGTAAATTATTGTAATTTGAGCCAAATCAAGTTGGAGAAAGTGAGCATTATAATATGCGAAAGACGTGGACCGTTACGGAAGTATAGATAAATGCGAGTTTTCTGAGTATCACAGTCATAAAAAAGATGTAAAATATCACCTATATTCTGAATTGAACACTACTTTACAGATTTTAGTTAGCAGGCACTAATATCTGAAGTATCCGTGAGTTGAAGACTATTGATCGTCAATTTGCCGTATCGTCGGTTGGTGGATGATCCTTCTTCTGCCAGTTTTGCTATCAAGTAGACCTGTAAGTACTTATATAGCGTGTTTTTTACTGATCTGTTTGATTTAGTTGAAATCCTCCCTTTTGGGGTGCTACAAATTTTCGACGCTATTCCAGTATCCGGGCCCCAAATTTCGAAGTCGTGAATTTGCTATGACTCGGTCTGTAGGGGTTATTCGACATGCTGATCACGAATATCACACACTTTCTGCGCAAGAACGTCATTTAGTGGGGCATGGTGGGTATACGGTAATCAAAATCACGGTTTGGCGAATTTTGGTCTAGAAAGGTGACGTGCTGATGAATACAAACTCTTTTTGCATTTTGCACCGTTCAATGAGTTGTGGTAGGTAGCTCTAAACTTCGCCCAAGGAGGTTATTTAGCTCGCTGAACAAGAGTATTATGCTGATTTCTCGAAATACATGTTGATTTCTCGAAATACATGTTAGTATCAGCATGTCAAAACAACCCCCTAGGCCATGTTTCAGTAATCGTGGTTTTAACCCCCAACCAAACAACCCACCGTAACCCCTGAAAATGCTATCGCGCAAAACTAATATGATTTGGCATTTGTGTTGATTTGTAATTTTGGGGTTTGGATACTGTAATAGCGCCAAATCCTCTTTGGTGCTTTTTTTTTGCCAGATTTAGTAAGAGACGGCTGTACAAAAGAGCTGGTGATGTGTTTTTTCTCGAAATTCTTCCTTCTCAAAAAATTCGTTCAATGCCTACCTTTGTGTCACTTGGTAGCATCTCAATATAATCTTCTCCTTCCCGTCCTTCTACCTTGAAGCAACTTTCCAATTCTTTGTTGGCGCTGTCATTGCAAACAAATAGAACCGCATCGCCCTGGAAAATGCTTCTTCTTCTTCTTC